AAAAAAAACAAAACAAAACAAAACAAAACACACAACCACATCCAGCCTGCACACAGGATAAGGCTGAAGTTTCTTTCTTTTTTTAAACAAACTTTAGCTTTAGAATCTCCTCTCAAGTCAACATTTAATTTTAATATGTCTGACAACAAGCATCCCTGGCTGCTAGACAGGTATAATTAAGAAACATTATTTCTGAGCAGGGGGAACAATAACACAGCACGTAGCAGCTGTATTCTAGCCTGAATCCTGCTTGAAAGTAGAATTCCTTAGCACAGTAAATATACTGACACTCAATGGTTGCCTACCTGTTCACATAATTCACTATAATTCTATGTTGTAGTCATACTGAAACACCTTAACTTTCTAAAACTCCAAACTTCCTTTCAGTCAATTCCTACTTCAAGACTTTCACACTTTCTTTACAAACTTTGCATACTTTACAAACTTCTTTCTCACAACTGTGAATGAAATTAACCACTCCCACAAGGCATCCTGGTACACACATTACTGTCTTCATTTGACTTTATTTACTGATCTGGATTCAAAGAGCAATTCAGTTAATGTATTAGCTATGTAAACCTGGACAAAATTAACGTGTTTATCTCATCAGTGGAGATAAGAGTTAGGAATAGAAAAACAAAGCAATGTGTTAAATATCTAATTCTGTACCTGGCACATGATAAATATTTGGGGAAATAATAATGGGATTGCCACTTCAAATCTGGGATGCGTGTACCACTGTGTACAAACTTACATTTAATAAGGGGTGGGGGGAATGAACTGTAGGCGCTAGACAGACATAAAATATCTGTAGATATTTAGATTCTAAGCTAGTAATTAGTTGTCTAAAGGGAGACAAGAGAAGCCAGGGGAAAAAGCTGCAAGGGTCTGCTGGGAGGTCCAAGAACTGAAAATAAGGTTTAATGCTTTGGGTACACGCTAACCCACACCCTGAACAACCATTACTCTCTCATCTCTCTGTCCACCAAGACGTGAGCCTAGAGGTAAGCAACCTGCCACAGCACGACTGTCACTGCAACGTAAGGGCTGCCTCCCTCCGAATTCCTGGGCCAAGACTTCTGGGAACTGCAGACCACCTCCCTTCACAGATCTCCATTCCCAGCGGGCAGAGACCCAGTCCCTTGAGACCTCCCCTGAATGGCATACGACGCCTTCAAAAAAGGTACGTGAATGCATTAAACATTAAAAACAAAAACAGAAACAAGCACACAAGGCACATATACTAGGGCTATGCTTAGGGCCTACGAAAGATCCTCAGGGGAAGCCGCGGACGAATTCCCGCTAGACTCCCGGGCCCGCAGGCCACGCAGCCCTCGCGCCGCGCCC